GGAGCCCGATGCGGGACTCGATCCAGGGACTCCAGGATCATGACCTGAGCCGAAGGCAGTCGCTTAACCAACTGAGCCACCCAGGCGCCCGAATCTCGACAATTTTTTGATACAGCATAATGGTGCTCCCCATTTCATAAGTACAGAGACCGATGCTCAGAGGTTAGCTAATCATCTCCCTACAAAGCCCTTGTTTGCTTTTCTAGGCCACTTCACTATCAGATAAAACTCCTGTATGATATCTCTCCCATGTCACCAAAGCTATTCAGAGGAGTGGAGTATCTAGGAACCAGTTGTCTTTCCTTGTTAGGAAGACCTGTTTTCTGTGTAGACCCCCTAGACCAAGCCTGTCCTCCTTTTGCCGGCAGGTATTTCCCAGCCACTTTACACAGCAGCGGACCAAAGAAACAAACTGTGAGAGTGATCGGGAGAGGGGCAGTAAGCAGGCCTGCAGCCCATGCTCTTCACAGTCCACCAGCAGTGGCATTTGCACAGACTTCTGGGACTTATTGGTAAAACTGGACAACATGAATGTCAGTCGGAAAGGCAAGAACTCCGTGAAGTCAGTGCCAGTGAGCGCTGGTGGTGAGGGGGAAACCTCCCCATACAGCCTCGAGGCCTCTCCACTGGGGCAGCTCATGAACATGTTGTCACACCCAGTCATCCGCCGGAGCTCTCTCTTAACTGAGAAACTCCTCAGACTCCTTTCTCTCATCTCAATTGCTCTCCCAGAAAACAAAGTGTCGGAAGCACAGGCTAATTCTGGCAGCAGTGCTTCCTCCACCACTGTTGCCACCTCAACCACATCTACCACCACTACCACTGCCGCCTCCAGCACGCCCACTCCCCCTGCTGCAACCACCCCTGTCACTTCTGCTCCAGCTCTGGTCGCTGCCACGGCTATATCCACCATTGCCGTAGCTGCTTCGACCACGGTGACTACCCCCACGACTGCTACCACTACTGTTTCAAGTAAGTGTGGATGTAGGCTGGGAGCTTTGGGGTATGGACACCCACCTCACCCTCCACTCCCCCATCCAGGTATTCCTCCCTAAATAATAGCAGTCGGCTTGGTTTGTGTTTGCAAGAGCCAAATGTGTTCATTCTTGCCCTCCTCAGTCCCAGTTCTCTCTCTCCATCCTTCTCCTCCCCACACTCATCCACCCACCCACACAGACACTCGTGAAGACCAGCAGGCATTCACTGAATGTGGCTTCCCTAGGCTAAGCACCAAAAGGAGGAGAGAGAGAAAGTCCCTGTCTTCAAAGAACTCCCAGCCTTTCTAGCCTAGTTGAGGGACCCAGTCTTAGGAAAAAGTTTGAGAGCAGGCAGGATACCATGTGAATCAGGGTAGACTAGCCAGGCTATCCTAGGAAGTAAATGGAACGAGCCCTATAGCGGACTAGTAAGATTTACTTGAAAAAAACGTTTTGAAGAGGGGCCTCTGATGGTAGGGAAACAGTTGAGAAATGTTTGAGATTGTCACTTTAGAAGGTACAGTCATGAGAGTCCTTGACATCCCAAGTCATTTGGATTTGGCTTTGGTAGGTGGCTTTTCATTTGCACTACTTTCCCACATTGAAGCCCTGGACAGTTTAGTCATTGTTTGGTTTTGGCATGTGAGTTTTAGAGGCTTACAGTGTTCCATCTGATTCCTCAAAGCTTCTGCAGCTACTAAGGCCAGCAAATCTCCAGCAAAGTTGGGTGATGGGGGCAGCAGCAGTGCAGACTTTAAGATGGTATCCTCTGGCCTTACTGAAAACCAGCTACAGCTCTCTGTGGAGGTGAGTCCCAAGTTCTTCAGAATTCCCAAGATTGGGGGAGAAAAGGTAGATAGGAGTAGATAAAGTTATAGTTCTCAAGTTGAGGCTTACCCCTTTTCTCTTCTTTTTTCCCAGGTGCTGACATCCCACTCTTGTTCTGAAGAAGGTCTAGAGGATGCAGCCAATGTGTTACTGCAGCTCTCTCGGGGGGACCCTGCGACCCGGGACACTGTTCTCAAGCTGCTACTGAATGGAGCTCGCCATCTGGGTTATACTCTTTGTAAACAGATAGGTAATAACGGGAGTGAAGCATCTTGTCTTTCTGAAACCTTCCACTGAGGGATCACCTCTTTATGGAAGCCTTCCCTGAATCTCCAGGTTGAATCAGACTCCTCTGTGCTTCTGTAGCACAGCCCCTGTGTCTCCTCTGTTGCAACACTGATAATACTGGGTTGTCATCTGTTTTCTTCTGCTCAGTTGTTCATGGAGAGCGAGGCTGGGCTTCTCTCTACATTGCCAGTGCCTGGCACATGCCTTGTAATCAGTGCTTAGTAAAGGAAAATGAGCACATGTAGGACCAGCAGTACTCCCTTGCTTCTGCATTCTGGGCACTTATAAGAGCCCTACGATGAGCCTGCTGAGGCAGCTTCACTACCTCAGAGATGCACCTGCACTTCACTTAGGCTCAAGAATTGGGAGTCCAAATGGTAGGTACCCTCTGCCTTTGTGCAGTTGTAAGGGTACAGAAGTTCTAAAAACACTTGCAAATGTCTAGTTTCAGTCTTCCTTCCTGTTGTTACCAAGAAGAAAACTAAAACCCAGGGTGATAAAGTGATTGAATTGAGGAGTAGAGCCAGATTTTCTTTCAGCATAGAGAGTCTTGCTCTCTCCCACTCCTATCCCAGTCATGGATCTCCCTAGATCTCAGCTACCTGCGTAATTATCTCCTTCTCACAAATGTGCCTAGAGCTGAGGTGATAAGGGTATTGGTTAGACTGTATGAACCAGGGTATTCTTTGTAACATGAGAACTATAAGGTTCTTCCAGAAGGAATTTGGCCAGTCTCTGACTTTCCTTGACTCCGACCATTCAACACTCGTGGGCCAGGCAGTGTCCCACCTACTCTACTGCAGTTATCTCCTAATTCTCAAAACTGCCTTGTGAGGTTAGGCAGTATTAGTCTCATTATTAAGATAGGTAAGTGAACTGGGAGAGGGGTTAAGCAATTTGCCTGAGATCGCCTCAGAAACCGATAATTTTCCCCTCTGCACTGAGCTGCATTTTGTGTAGATTCAACAGATTGCTGAAGCGGGGTAGATTGGTAGTCTCTGGATGGTTGATCCATGAACACACATAGTAAGGTGAACAGCAAAATTCCTGCTCACTCCAGATTCTCTGCAGCTGAGCAAAGAAGACAGGCTGTGCAGGTTTCTTGGAAAGGTTTGGCTTTCAGCTGCTTCACTAGGGGAGTCTCTGAACACTTGCTGGCTCCTCTCCCTGACCAGGTACCCTTCTGGCTGAGTTACGGGAATACAACCTAGAACAGCAGCGAAGAGCCCAGTGTGAGACCCTCTCTCCTGATGGCCTGCCTGAGGAGCAGCCACAGACCACCAAGCTAAAAGGCAAAATGCAGAGCAGGTGGGTGGTTGCCACCCATTTGGCTATGGGGCTGGAATCTGGGGTATTCTAAAAGGTGGCTGTTGCTGGTTTCCTGGTTGTTGGTGGTGGGTTTTTGTTTGCTTTCTTTTCCCCTCTCTGGGAAGATTTTCTTATCTGTCCTATACATACTTGACCTTATTTTGTCCTTTGGGATTTCCTTCTGAGAGTCTTTAACCCTCTGGTTGACACCAAAAAGCCCTGCTCGCTCTGGGTGTTTATGCTTTGATGCTGTCAGTATACGCAAGCCACCTCTACACTATCCAGGTTTGACATGGCTGAGAATGTGGTAATTGTGGCATCTCAGAAGCGACCTCTGGGTGGCCGGGAGCTCCAGCTGCCTTCTATGTCCATGTTGACATCCAAGACGTCTACCCAGAAGTTCTTCTTGAGAGTACTGCAGGTCATCATCCAGCTCCGGGACGACACACGCCGAGCTAACAAGAAAGCCAAGCAGACAGGCAGGCTAGGTATGAAACTGGAGTGTCCAGTTGAGGGGCAGGGTTGGTGGTGGCAAACTCAAAGAGTTCCTGGAGGGCGGGACTTAATGTCATGTCTCCATCCTGCTTAACCTTTCCAAAAAAGGAAGTGATGATCCTTTCCTAGGCTGTTGATGGCTGCGTTCTGTATCTCACTCAAGGTGCCTGTATAGGAAATTCATTAGGGCAAGTGAGAATTAAGGGGGAGTGGAAATCCGGCAAAGAAATTGGGGGCAGATTTTTTGTTGAACAAGATTTAAGGCACTGAGTGTGTCTCCTTTCTGCTTCTTTGATCACTCCTGACTAAAACATTGCAGCCATGTTGCCTCAGCTGTGGCCTGCCAAATCCTACCTCTTTCCTCCTGTCCCACAGAACCGTCTCCACCTGCCACTATCCATCTGCCTAGCGCCATGTCCCCTGCCCTTACTTGTAATGGTAGCTCTTAGTGCCTGGTGAAGAGCACTCTGAAGCTGCCTGAGTTAAAGGTCAAAGACTTCAGCAAGATGCCCTGTGGCAGCCCAGGAGATGGGAGAGAGAATATTGGGCATTCCCTCTTTCTACTTTTTATATCTTGCCTTCTTTTTTCTTTCTCCCAGGTTCTTCCGGTTTAGGCTCAGCTAGCAGCATCCAGGCAGCTGTTCGGCAGCTGGAGGCTGAGGCTGATGCCATTATACAAATGGTACGTGAGGGTCAAAGGGCGCGGAGACAGCAACAAGCAGCAACGGTTAGCATGATGCCTGTGGCCCCTCATTCATTTGTCTCTCTCCCCTGCCCCACCACATCATCAGTGGGGTTTCACTGCCCTTACCTTGTATGCTTTTGCATTAAGTTTGCTGTATTATGAATGCTTCTGGACAACAGGGTTACTTTCTGTTGGTGTTTTCTCTACTGTTTGTTCATTGTTTTGGACTGATATGATTTAAAGCTTGGCCATCATACCCCACTCCCAGCTATCCAGTCCAGTCAACAGTGGCGCTTTTGCAAACTGCATAATGCTTAGTGTCTGGGTTCTGAGGGGGTGTGGGATGAAGATTTTTCAGTCTCATGGAATAATGCAAGTACATCAGGAATCCTGCCCTTGAAATTCCCCAAGCTTGGTATACATCCCACGCAGCCTCTTCTAGGCAGTGGCTGGTCCATCTACCCTGGCCTCTGCTTCTGTTCTCCATACTTTCTCGGCACCTTGGCACCTAGGCACTCAGGCACTTTTAGGAAGAAACCTTCAGGTTCCTAGATAGCCAACTCATTGTTGGGATCCCAGCACAGAGTGGCTTCGGGAAAAGCCTGGCATCTTGTATGTATGCTGTGGCGCACTCTCATTGTTTTCCTGTCCTTGCAACATGCAAGTCACCTTCCCAAGATCCGGGAAATAAAGGTATCCTGAGGCCTGGTTTTTCTTTGCATATGATTACTATTACACAGTATGGTTTCATTGAGCATGCTGAGAACATCATAGAATTTGAGGGCTGTGACTCCCAACAGGGCAGAAAGGGAAAACAACTATTATTCTGGAGTATTTTCTGCCCCATCTTTCCCATACCCAAAAGGACAGATGTTGGCTTTGTGAATAATCCCACCCATCAAAGGTTGTCCCTTATTTCCCCTTTTCTAAGCAAACAGAAACAGCCAAATCTACAGTCTGCTTACCTGATTTTTTTATGTATGTGTATATGTATGTAATCTGTCCCTAGAAGAAGCCTTCCAAGTCTGTATCCAGAAGGCTGGTGTCTGACTAGACATAGGTCTGAAGTAGAGTGGAGACAATGCAGGCATCCAGGGAGCTTTTTGGAGAAGTTTGCTAGCTCAGGGTGGAGGACAGCAAAGGAGGTGGAAGGACCATTCTTTTGTTCGAGAAAGCTACAGAGTTTTTTGACCAGATAAAGGAAGCTTTATCTTTCCAAGCGTTCCAAGCTTATGATGCGCGAGAATGGGTAGAGCCAGCCTCTAGCCTGTCCCTGAGGAAAGCAGAGTTGCACCCTTTTATGTGACTTTGTCTCCCTTTTATCCAGTCGGAGTCAAGCCAGTCGGAAGCCTCTGTCCGGAGGGAGGAGTCACCCATGGATGTAGACCAGCCATCTCCCAGTGCTCAGGATACTCAGTCCATTGGTCAGTACTACTTCCTATTTCCAGTGCAGCAAAAGAGAGAGCCAGTCTTCATGGAATGTCTGCTGGATCCCCTGCTCTCTACATACATAAGCTTAGTGTTTTCCAGTTTGTTGCAGTGAACACTGGTTTTTGTAAATGTTAATACACTAACTGTCACCACCTCACCCTTTCTGGAGATGCGTAGCATACGCTATAATTCCTAAAGAAACTGAGATGAGATGGTGTTAGACATGGAGATAGCGTATGTTTGAGTTGTGGCTCTCCTGTTTTCTGGCTCTGGGACCTGAAGCAAACCTCTCTTAGCTTCAGTTTCCTTGTTTAAAATAGGGGTGTTAATAGTTAGGAATGAACAAGTTAACACACACACACACACACAGCACTTAAAGCAGAACCTGGCACCCAGTGGATGCTATTAGTAGCAGCATTTCTCAAAGTTAATTGTATGTAGAATACTTTCTGATGCCCTCTTAACACATTTCTGTGGAATAGTGCTGGCATAGGACATCCATTTTTGAAATACATTAAATCATTTAATAATCCACAGGTTCTCTGAGAGTTAATGAGGCAGTGGGTAAACCAGCACTGTCTGGTAGAACTTTAGTAGTCACTAGCCACGTGTGGCTATTGAGCACTTAAAATGTGGTTATTGCAGCTGAGGAACCAAAGTTTTTATTGTATTAATTGTATTTGATTTAAATTTAAATGTCATCCAGTGTAGGACTAGAGCTTGCTTTCAGGTGTTGCTCAGTATTACTTAGTAGCCAGCGGGCCAGTCTACTTGATCTCGCATTGGACATAGGCCAGTGATTAATGGCCTGCACATTGGTCTGGGAAAAAGCTAAATGAAAGAAAAACCTCAAAGACTTTTTGTCTCTCCTTTGTGTGACCTGTAGGCTCAGATGGAACCCCACAAGGGGAGAAGGAGGAGAGGCCACCTGAGTTACCCCTGCTCAGTGAGCAGCTGAGCTTGGACGAGCTATGGGACATGCTGGGAGAGTGTCTAAAGGAACTGGAGGAATCCCATGACCAGCATGCGGTGCTAGGTGAGTTGTGGCCTTTGGGCCAAGGTCCCAACCCACTGATCTGCTCTGAGGCCCTTTCTGCCCGCTTAATTTTCTTCCTTCCAGATCATCCCTCTCTCTCAGTGTCTCTGTAATGAGAATTCAAAGGAGAGGTGTTTTTTCTCTCACTTCAGTATCAGAAAAAAAGATTTGTCCTCTCTTTTAGTAGCTGGTATCTTTTTACTTCTTAGACCAGGGGAATCTATAACCGGTTGCCTATTCCTTTTTTTTTTTTTTTTTAAGTTTCAAGGAAGCTCAGACTTCCTCTGTGGCTTTATTTTTCTTTGCTACCATTATATTTCTCCTATAAGTTTTCATTATTTCTTCTTCTATATTGTGCTTCTGTAATTTGATTATGAAGGAGAAGAGGTTTGTATGTTGAAGTTTCTAAAGTAAAATATCACTTCCCTGTCATTCCTACCCCCAGTGCTACAGCCTGCTGTCGAGGCCTTCTTTCTGGTCCATGCCACAGAGCGGGAGAGCAAGCCTCCTGTTAGAGACACCCGTGAGAGCCAGCTGGCACACATCAAGGACGAACCTCCTCCACTCTCCCCTGCCCCCTTAACCCCAGCTACTCCTTCCTCCCTTGACCCATTCTTCTCCAGGGAGCCCTCATCTATGCACATCTCCTCAAGCCTGCCCCCTGACACACAGAAGTTCCTTCGCTTTGCAGGTACAGGAAACTCTCAGGCCCCCAATAAAGAAGGCTTCATTTTTTATAGGGTCATTTCATACACTTTATCCTTAGGTGTTTCATGGGGGAGAGGGGTGAGAGAGAGAGAGTGTGTGTGTGTGTGTGTGTGGCGGGGGAGGGGGACGAAGGGGAGGGAGAGAGGGAGAGAATGAAGCTAGTGATGCAGGGACTGGGTCTGAAAGCCCTTTTGTGCCACACTGTCTTTATTCCCTGAAACACAAAGAGAGTTGCTGTCTGGTTGGCGGTCATGTAGTCTTCTGGGAGCCAAGATGTGCTGATTCTTGCTGTCCTTTCTCTCCTCAGAGACTCACCGCACTGTGTTAAACCAGATCCTACGGCAGTCCACCACCCACCTCGCTGATGGACCTTTTGCTGTCCTGGTAGACTACATTCGTGTCCTCGACTTTGATGTCAAGCGCAAGTATGTGTCCTGGAGGCTGTGGGATGGGAACTTTTCAAATGGTATCTCTCCTCCCAGAAAGGAGCCAAAATTCCTCCTGAAGGAGTGTTTTCAGAGAAAAGAAGTTTCCCTTGGTGGCAGCCCTTGGAATGGTGCTGGATGGGAGGGAGGAGGTTCATCTGTGCCACTGACAGTCATTATACCTAAATACTCCCTGGCCTTCTCCATTCTTCATCAGAGAAATGCAAGCCTTTGTTCAATCACATGACTTCTAAAGTTCTATTCCATTCTTTGGGGTCATGCAGGAGGTGCGGGTAGCCATAGTACACTTATAGCAGGACTCCGGCAGCGGGGGCGCCACAGCACTCCTGTCATCCCTACTCTTCTTTTCTGTGCACCTACGCATACTACCTACTTGTTGCAGATATTCTGTGTAACGATCTCTGTGGGCCTTTATTCGGTAGAGATGGGAAAATTTAGAGTTGGTAATGAATGACCTGCTTCTCCCAACTACTGGGCACCTTCAGGTTCACCTGGGGAACAGATGTTTGGAAGATGGGAGAAGCATCATTGTAGGTCTTCATCCTAATCAAGCTAACAGAAGTTTACTCTGCCACCCCCAATCCTATTTTCCTTCCTTCCCTACCTCCCAAGATATTTCCGCCAAGAGCTGGAACGTTTGGATGAGGGACTCCGGAAAGAAGACATGGCTGTGCATGTCCGCCGTGATCATGTGTTTGAAGACTCCTATCGTGAACTGCACCGGAAATCCCCTGAAGAAATGAAGAATCGATTGTAAGAGCCCAGAACAGAGAAAAGACAGGATGGGAGGGTGGAGGACTGTCCTACGTGGTAGTGAAGGCTTACTCCAGTGCCAGATGTGCAGGGGAACTCCAGAGGAATTCCAAATAGGAACCTGGTATAGATAATCTCACTGAGCTATCTCCTGTCTCCTCGGCCTGGTCTCATGACACTGGTCTTCTACTGGCTAGCTGGCCCTTGGGCTGAGCTACCCACAATTCCCAGAGAGAAGAGTCCTCGGCATTTACAAAGATAGACCTGATGGCTTCGCAGAGAGCTTTCTCTTATTATACTAGGAATAGGAAGCCTGCTGAGCAAATGCTGTCCTGGCTTGGGGGGGACCACACTTGCATGAGTGGCCCCTCACCAAATCGATAATCACTCACTGGTGATCCTGAAGCCACCTAGAGGAGATCAGCAGTTTGTGATACTAAATGTCATGGAAGCTAGTGAGATGATAGACCTCTTGGAGTAGTTTGATGCTCCTGAGCTCAGGAACTTGATTCCTCCTCTCCCTTGTGGCATTGGCTCACCATCCATGTTATCACATAGGAAGTCAGGCTTCTGAGACAGACTGGGCCCTGCTCCTCCACCACCAAATCCTTACAGACATCAGGCTGAGCTCAGCCCTCTCCAATACCACTTAACAACTCCTCTCCCTGCTTTCCCTAAGTGAGGCCGTCATTTAAGCCTCTATACCTTTCCTATTGCTGTTTTCTGGAATATAGATAAGCCTTTACTGATAATTCAGGACATCTTTTCTATCGATGCTTTTTTTGTCCCAGATTCCCACCCTTCCTCTGGGCTTTCCTGGCACTCTGCATTCACCTCTATTCTCTGATCCTGCACTCCCCAGCCACTGCTTCACTCACTCGCTCGCTCACTCACTCACTCACTTGGTTCATGCTGCATAAAAGAATGGATTTATCCTGGGCTTTCTGCACATCTGTTTCTGGTCTCTTATGCAGGTATATAGTGTTTGAAGGAGAAGAAGGGCAGGATGCTGGAGGGCTCCTGCGGGAGTGGTATATGATCATCTCTCGGGAGATGTTTAACCCTATGTATGCCTTGTTCCGTACCTCACCCGGTGATCGGGTCACCTACACCATCAACCCATCTTCCCACTGCAACCCCAACCACCTCAGCTACTTCAAGTTTGTTGGACGCATTGTGGCCAAAGCTGTATATGACAACCGCCTCCTGGAGTGCTATTTTACTCGGTCCTTCTACAAACACATCTTGGGCAAGTCTGTCAGGTGAGGAATGTGGCACAGGATCCACATTCTCACTTGACAGGTCCTTTTCTTGTGTCCCACCCCCATACTTCCTCTCCTCCACCCTAACCCATGACCCTAATTGTGTTTTTCTAGATACACGGATATGGAGAGTGAAGATTACCACTTCTACCAGGGCCTGGTTTATCTGCTGGAAAATGACGTCTCCACACTAGGTTATGACCTCACCTTCAGCACTGAGGTAAGTCGAGAAATTTTGACCACAGCACATCCTAGATAGTCCAAGAAACCCATTGTGGGACTGCCCTTAAACTGGCACTGCATAAAGTCTCATGCCCCATTCCCCATCTAGCAGTGAGCAGTGGGTATTTGTATGAGACATCACAAACAGAAAAACCAGGATTTGTAAAACAATCCAGGGTGTTTCCTAGTTTCCTCCTTATTTAAAAAAAAAAAAAACTGTTCTAGTACAGTATTCTTCATTCCCAAAAGTAGTTCATTATACAGAGAAATATAAATGAAAAACAAAATTTTTTAAGGTTACTCTCCCTCCGAATTGTTTTCCATAAAGATTGTGTTGTGTCGCTACGCATGTTAACCATGCTTTTTTCCCTTTCACCATTGACCATTTCCTTACTTTCAGCCTTTAAGTGTTTTGGGGCCAAACCCTTGGCTTTTCCCTATTACAAAGTTATGCGCTCATGAGAAACAACACTTTTTTATGACCTTGCTTCGTCTTTCTGCCCAGGACATGGCAAAGAGTTCAAGTATTCCAAGGTATCTATATAAATCCCATCCTAGATCATGCCTGATAGGAATGATTGGTGTTTTGGGTGTTCTAGGTCCAAGAGTTTGGAGTCTGTGAAGTTCGTGACCTCAAACCCAATGGGGCCAACATCTTGGTAACAGAAGAGAATAAGAAGGAATATGTACACCTGGTGTGCCAGATGAGGATGACAGGTAGGGGGAATGTCCCTTAGACCCGTTATCGTTCATATGGAAGAGGTCAGGCCTCAGTCATACAGATACTGTTTTTTTTTCTCTTCCCCTGTGCCAGCCACAAGTGCTTTGCACAAAGAGTCCACAAACACCTGGCCAAAAAATATTTCCCTTCACCCACCCTCATTCAAGGGCCAGAAGCAGTGTTAGGTGAGGCAGGCAGACCATTCAGCATCCTAGTTGCAGCAGGAGCCAGATTGAGGATCCCTGACCTCTAACAGTTGTGTGAGTTTAGCTGCCACATGGCTTGTTGGTTCTCTCCCCAGGAGCCATCCGTAAACAGCTGGCAGCTTTCTTAGAAGGCTTCTATGAGATCATTCCAAAGCGCCTCATTTCTATCTTCACTGAGCAGGAGTTAGAGCTGCTCATATCAGGACTGCCCACAATCGACATTGATGATTTGAAATCCAACACTGAATACCACAAGTACCAGTCCAACTCTATTCAGGTGAGCTGCTGCTGGCATCCTTCCCCATATCCCTGAGCAGTGCTAGTTGGTATGACACCACATAAACCAGCACTCTTAGGGGGCAAGGGGATATAGGTGACAACTTACTTAGACCTCACTCTTCATCCTCTGGAACACGTTTTCAGGGGGTGTTCTTGCTCATCTTATGGAAGAACTGAAGCCCATTTCACAGAATGGACTTGCCTAAGATTCCAGATTCCATCCCACCTCACACTGGCTTCTTGTGTCCTTTCCCACAGATCCAGTGGTTCTGGAGAGCATTGCGTTCTTTCGACCAAGCTGACCGTGCCAAGTTCCTCCAGTTTGTCACAGGTACTTCCAAGGTGCCCTTGCAAGGCTTTGCTGCCCTTGAAGGCATGAATGGCATTCAGAAGTTTCAGATCCATCGAGATGACAGGTCCACAGATCGCCTGCCTTCAGCTCACACATGGTAAGAGAAGAGTTTGTTCTCCTTTTTAGCATTCAGACTGAGCTTGCATATTTGTTGCTTCTAGACCCCTAACCAAGGGCAGGAACCCCAATCTAGCCCCAGCTGTGGTAGCTCATAATTTGGTGGTTTTGTGGAAAAGGTGATGTTTGAGATGAGAAGCTGGCCCAGATTCACAGTAAGGCTGGGGGGGGACATTGCAAGTGAGCACTGCCGCAGGAGAGCACAGTGTACTCCAGGGCCCAGCTTGGAGCAAGGAGTTGCGGGGAACAGAAAGCTTAAAGAGGTTGATCAGCAGAAGTTGGATCACCAGTGACCCCAAATGCCTCCTGCTTGCACATTAACCCATAGGTGAGGCTGTGATGTTTTAAGGAGTGGCAGGGTCAGATTTATGTTTTAGGTGCTTGATGGACCAGTATTGGGGCCAGATGAGAGGAGAGAAGACCAGGCTAGGACAAGATTTCAAGTCTGCAAGAGAGGAGTAGGTTCCTCAGGGAGGAAAGGTCAGTGGGCACCATGGGAACACAGGGATTTGGTTATCTTTTGTCACAAACTGATCTTTCTTCTTTTCTAGTTTTAATCAGCTGGACCTGCCTGCCTACGAGAGCTTTGAGAAGCTCCGCCACATGCTACTATTGGCCATCCAGGAGTGCTCTGAAGGCTTTGGGCTGGCCTAATAAGGCCCCGCCCACCACTGTGGGGGTTTTCTACCATTGTTGGACCTGGGAATGGGGGGAAATGAAAACAAAAAAGAACCAGAAAGAAAATGTCAAAAACCAATAAATGAAATCCACCAACTCACCATGTGTGTGTCCCAGCTTCCCCATCTTCCCCAGCGCATACCCGTTCCCCCTCTCCTGCTCATTCTCTCTCCCTCTCTTCCTCACCTCCTCCTCCCTGTTCCATGCCGTCCATGATCCCCAGCCCATGTGTTAAAAAGGCATTAGCCTTTGCAGGGACCTGTTTGTCCCAACTGTTTGAACAGTGTGCTCCTCAGATTCTGTGTTCAGAAGGATTTGCTGCATTGAGACTTGAAACCTTTGGATAGGGGAAAAATTATATATATATATATTTTTTTGTTCTGTTTGCATTTCTTAATTTGTGCTTGGAATGTGTTGATGTGCACAGCTAATGATTCAATGCGAGACAAGATTGGCGTCTGTGTTGTGGAGGTTTCAAATAAAGAGCACTCTTCATAACTCACTTTTCACAACGGAGTTTTTTTCAAACTTAAAAGAAACAACTCTTGAACATATGCTAGACATCTGGAGAAAAGATGCAAATGGACTCTCCAGAAAACCATCTCTGCCACCACCACTGGTGCATCTTCCTTCTTCAAAGTCCGTTTCCCCATTGTCAGGAAAGATCAGCAGCCACCAGGAATTGAGGGGAGCCTGTTTTTTAGAATGGGATCTGCACTTGAAGGCGGTGATGGTGTTTAACAGTTTGCAGCCAAGGACAAAGCATCACCTTGCCTGAGGGGAACAAATCAGCAGGTTGTAAGAAACACTGAGAACTCAACCCAACTGACAGTTCTATTTGATGAGCCTTTCTTTATAAGGGTCTCAAGTGTAGAGCTTAGTTTAAAATTTTTATTTCATTTAATGTTTTAGTTTTTTTCTAACAAATTTCAATAAGTAATTTGACTAGCTCTCAGAACAGTCTTCCCATCCGTTTTGGTTTTGTTCCGTCATCTGCCAGTCTGTTCACAGATCAACCAGTAGTCTTGTGGTTTTTACTCCATCCAGCAGTTAAAGCTGATCCAAGGACTTTGATGGTTCCAGCTTTCAAAGAAAAAAATAAAGGTTTAGTTAGAAAAATAACCCCAAGTGATGCTTGCTTTGTGTGGTTTTTCTCATTTTCTGAGGCTCTGTTTTGTAAAGATTTTCTCCTTAACCTAATCCCCCTGCCCTTGGTCCTGATGCAAATGGCTGCTAGACATTTTCTCCCTTTTTTAAAATATTCACACTTGCCTATGCTTCATCCTGCTGACAACTGAGAAGACAGATGGACTGACCCTGTCCCTACTATTGAACTTCTAGTCAAGGGGGAAGGAGACTGAGTAGTTCTGTGACAGATGTAGGAAGGGGTCTCTAGGTTCCCGGAGCGGAAGTCCTTCACCTAGCCTGAAAGATCGGGGAAGGCTTTCCATTGTCAGGCATTCTAGTTGAATCCTAGCTGGGAGTTAAGATTAAGGAGGGGAGGGTAATCTAGGTCAAGGCAGGAGGAGTCCAGCTGATGGCACAGCTTGAGCAAAGGATGGTGGCCTGAGATGAGGCTGGGAGTCCAGCTGGGCTTTGAAATGAAAAGAATAAGAAATATGGTAGAATTGATAAATAAGCTTAAGAACGGATTCCTTGAAAAATCGAAGTAGGGAAAAAACCTAACATTTAAATTTGGGAGGTACAGGGTTTGGGAGTTGGGTGAGGAAGCTGGGCGTACAGGTGGAATAACTCTGAAGAAAACAAAAGTGAATCTAATTCAGTGGCATACTACAAAAATCTAATGTGTCCAAGCATGACTTGCCTTTGGGATATGTGTATGGTGTAATATTCATCACCTCAGTGTCAAATAAGAAAAATCCTGTCAACTGATGCAAGGCATTTGCTAACAATAATTATTATTGGTAACTTAAGACACTACCTTGATAAGGTTGCCTCAGACCAACAGCCAGCATCACACAAGAAGCATAAGGTGGCCAATTACCACTATTAACACTGTTATGCCAGTTCTAACCACTTCAGTAAAGCAGAAACTGCTAACCAAAGAGAACCAAAAGTTACTAGCACTTAAAACAGTCCAACAAGAGAACTGGTTATAATGAACAAAGTATTCACTCTTGTCGACATTTATTGTCCCAACAAGTGTGAATAAATAATACATACCATGGAATTCTGTGTAGCAGTAAAAATGTATCCCATATATCAACATGCATAATCTCAATGTAAGTATGAGACCTGTTTAAAAGTTACAAAACAATACTATATAGCATATGTACCAAGAGCATGAAAAACTACATCCATACATACCAAGAGTGAAAATCCGTGCATGAGTATGACAAAGTACTGCACAATGTTCAGGATAAGCTGTGGGAGACAAGGAGATGCAGTTTGGAAGAGGTAATCACACAGAGCTTCAACCACGTTGGTGATGTTTATTTCTTAGGCTGGGTGGTGCTAGACACGTGGGCATTCTTTATAATGCTATATATTATGATAACACGAGATATTTCATAATTTTTTGAGATAGACAATTTATTAAATTTCACAATGAATTTGAGGTAGGTAGCAGGGGAGTCAATAACAGGCCTAATTCTACATGAAGCCTGCTTGCATGACATGATTAAACATGTCTCTTTTTGCCCCCGAGTAATTCCCTCCACTGATCTGTCTGTGCGTTATGATTACCATGGGTTATCTCCTTATTGAAATAGTCCTCTTTTCTTATAATCAGGGTGACCATGTAATTATCATTCAAAGTTGGAAAAATTTAATAAAAAGGGTGCTATTAATTATGCTGGGCCACAGGGGCAAACTGGATAAACTAGAATGTATGGTTCTATATTTAGGATGTGTATCTGTCTAGGCTGGAGAAACAATCACCCCTAATAAACAAAATTCCATTGAACACTTAAACCATGTACTGACAATACTGAGAAGGCTCTGCGTGAAGGGAAGGAGGCAGGTGTTAGGAAACTACAGGGGGCAATGGGTACACAGAGACTTACCAGGCAGGTGTAGCAAGATTAAACATGTTCTCAAGTACAAGCAATAACCAGTTAGAGAATGAACAGGAAATAGATTATCTTTACAACAATAACATACCAAAGAATAACTTCAAGGAGTGTTCAGGACTCATGAAAGAAAAATGGCAAAACTCATCATTACGCATAAAAGAGGCAAATAAATGAAGAGACATACTGTGTCCATTTGCATAAAAATGCAAGTATAGCTGGCTTTGAGACTTTGGTGGACAAACTGATAACGCTAAACAAGATGGGAGTTGAAATAGACCTGACAGAATGGCCTCGGCGGTGAAAAATGAGGCGCCAAGAGCCAGTTGTGGAAAGGAATAGCTTTGTCAATGTTAAGGTCAGGAAACTTGCCTAAGTATTGGGAGGGTAAAAAATATAAATTTTGCCCTGCACTTCACACTAAATAAATTCCAAATGGATTCAAGAGTGAAAACTATGAACTGATTTTTTAAAGCACAAAATGAAAATATGGGCAAATAATAACTGATCTGGGATATGGAAAATCTAAGGCTAAAATCTACAAGGACATCATAATGGAAAATATAATGATATATTTGACTACTAAAATGCTGGCAACACCATGAACAGAATTAAAAAAAAAAGACGACAATCTAGGGGGAAAAATGTCTCTAATAGGCAATGGGTTAATCCTTAAT